CTAATAATTAGAAATTAAAAAGAGGAGGAGAAAAGGATGGGAAGGAAGAAGAGAGAATCCTTTCCTGACACAAGCATGTCATGCATTTTAACAATGCTATTATTGTCCGCATTGACAAGAGACGTAAGATAACGAGTTGCTTATTCTAATATAACTAGATTTATGCTCAGTGCGGGAATATTTTAGTTTTTAAGAATAAAAATAAAAATAAATATTAAAAAATTATTTTAATATCATTCGAGTAAAATATATTTTTTCTATATTTTATCTTAATTATAATTTTTTTTTTAAAACTTTTATAAATCTCTCTTAAGATCAATAGTTAAAAGTTACAGAATACAAATATGTCTTTTACTTTTACGTTTTTATTTTTACCTATTTAATCATTAACTGATAGTTATTATTCTTGATATATTTTTTAAAATTTTTATTTATATTTTAAATTTATTAGTCATACAAAGTAATTTATTTAGTATTTTTTTAAAAAATTAAATATGTATTTTATCTTTTAAAAAATATAAGACATTTTTAATTGAATCTCACTCCAAATAAAACTTGTTTTTAAAATAACATAATTTTTTGTATTTACTATTTAATTGAGTGTTCCACTAAAATATGTATAAAATAATTTTTTTATTATGGGAATTTTTTTAAAAAATTAATGATTATATTTTTAAATACTAAAAATATTTTATATTTTTTAACATTCAACTCCTAAAGAATAATCTCTTAAAAAATGCTTTAAATTTTTTAATAAAAGGAGTAAGTTTATTAAAATAGTATTTAAAACACGTATCTGCAAGAAAAAAAATACTTAATGGAATAAAAGATAAAATAGTCAATATAATTTATGTTTATATTTATTTAAATTTTATAATTTTGATTAATGAGACTAAAGTGTAAGTTTTAAAAAATAAAGAAGAAGTTTTTATAATTCTTATAAAATAAAAGGAATACTCTTTAATATATTAATTTTTAAAAATTAAAATTCAAAGAATATTTCATTTTAAAATTTATTATGTTCATACGTATTAAAAATATAAATAATAAATTATTTTATTTTATAGTATATTATCTCGTGTAACTTAACATTTAAGGAACACTTTTTTTTTATTTTTTAAGATATCCTCACTGTCAAAAAGTATGAAATTAAAATTTTAATATAATGATACTTATAAAAAATGACTTCTATTTTGTAGTGTGTTATTCTTATACATTTTAAAAATATTATTATTTTTTAAAATTTCTCACATCTTAATATTTAAAATATAATTTAACTTGTTCTTTTTTAAAATGTGTTGCCCTATATATCATTTTAAGAAAAATAAAATATATATTATAATGAATTGTACTATAATTTATGTGATAATATTATTTATAAATCATAATTATAATGATTTTAAATTAAGCAAATAATATAATCCTTATTTTAGTATCATTTATCAATCATATGTACAAATATTACAAATAATATAATGATTACTGAAAAAAAAATTAAATATGCAGTGGAAGATAAATTCATTAATATTATCTAATTAATTTATAACTCATAGTTTATGTTATTTAGACTTGAGGTACGTAACTATATTAATATTTTTGGTAGATTCTAGTATCCTACATATGCCTCTTTTATTGCAGGGATCACATTATTTTTTTTATTCACTATATCATATTACAAAAATTAACAAATAAAAATTTAAAAAAAGAAAGAGAACGTTAGATACTCCGTAACAATTTTTTTTTTAGATGAAAAAGTCGGACTGTGTTTACAGATAAGAAAACCAGGGAAAAATATGTATTATATCATATTAAAAAGATTAACAAATAAAAATTTAAAAAAGAAAGAAAGAAAGAGAGAGAGAGAGTGAGAGAGAGAGCACGTTAGATACTTTGTAACAAATTTTTAAAAAAAAATATGAAAAAGTCGGATGGTACAGTACCATCCGACTGTGTTTACAGATAAAAAAAGAAAAACAAGGGAAAAAGTGGGGGCTTTTCTGGTAAATTATTGTTCATTCACTGTTCATGCAAGCATTCCAAATTTATATGGGTATAGATTCGGATTCTTTTTTTTTTTTTCAAATTATGAATTTATTAATCATGCAGGACATTGCTTATTCTAATATAATTCGGACTCTTTTTTATTTTTTTTTACTGATTCTCAAATTATGAATTTATTCATCATACAGGACATATATTCAAATTTCATTTCCATAATCTTCATCATACTCTTGGGTGGTCGTTTCAAATGAATACTCTCCCATAATAAGCATAAAAAAGGAGTTAACTTCAAGCTAATAATGGCGATGTTTTTTTAAAAAAAAAAAAACAAGAAGGGAAGCTAATTACTTTGTTAAGCCTGAAAAGTACAAAATCTGAGAAACGCAGTTCCAATAAAATCCTACCACAGGATGTGTTGCAATTCAGGCGGGGATTCATGCAAACCAAGTGGTTTGGTCTGAGGAAAAGAAACACGAAAATATGCACATCAATTAGCTTAATTCACGACATGTTGCAATTAGATGTCAGGAGTTGCTGGGAAGCCTCACAATAAATGTGAATGTGAAGGGCTCCTCTTTTAATATGTTAGTCTTTTTTAATTGACTTCCTCTTTAATTCCCTTCAACGCTGGATCGTGTAATTCTTGCACAAGAGTTGCTTAACAGCTTTCATGAGCATAGTGGCTATGTTTTGTGCAGTAATCTGTAGCTGCATGTGGCAGAGATCTATTAGCCCTTAATCACTTACATTTAAAAGAATTCAATTCACTAAATGTCCTTGTATCTACACTCAAATTAAAAATATCTTAAAAATGAATTTAAAAATTTTAAAAGCCTGGTTCAAATTACTTTCAATTTCCAACACTCATGCTGCATTTTAAATTCCATCACGATTCACCACCATCGAGCCCGACATTTCCGCTCCAACACGTGCCCTTCAAATGTCAACCCTCCATGAAAGCAAATGTTTTTTAAAAATGATTTATCATCAATATTTAGAACTATTAAAATGAACTTCCCAATTCCATAAAAACAAATTATAATCACACTAATTAAGTTACAATCTTCAAGATGTAAAGTCGTGTCCTGATCATACATGGCAATGATTAAAAAATCAAATCGAATTGAATGATTGGACAATTGATTGATCTAAATTTTGGCTTGATTAACGTACAAAAATTGTTTTGGAGGTTGAACAGAATTGAGCTGCTTTGGATCGATAGTCAAATCAGAAACTGGCCCAGATTTCAAAAATCAGACTATTAAAAAAAACCTTTTTTAATTTTTTATTAATTATTTTTAAAAAATAATCAATTCTTTTAATTATTTAATATTATATTATATCATGTGACTTGTTAAGTCATGACAAACTTAAAATATTTAATTTTATTTTTAAGTTAAATATCAATTTTATATTTATATTGTTATATATATACACAATTTTTTTAATTTAATTATTATATTATTAATTTAATCATTGGTTCAACTTAATTTAATCATATGAATCATGAAAACTGATTTTTTCAATTCGGATTCAATTTTAAAAACATTACAATACATTCACCGCTATCGCTCGGGTCAAACTTCCCTTCTCTTGTTTTGATTTTTCATTTTTTTTTCCTTCTTTGAATATTGTGCTTCACATTTTCATCCTTGAGTGAGTTACTAGGAAGCAAAATCATCTACGAATCAAACACTTGCTTAAGGGTGTCGCATCATATGGTTGGATTTCCAATGCCCCACTCCCTCTTTCCTCTATTATTAATACAAACTGAGGTCATCCTACCCGTTCAGATTGGCAACCTGTGATTAACAGAGACAGAGAAGGCATTGGTTAATTTTCAGTTTGCTCCTTGTTTTATTTTTGTTCATGTCTCTGCCTTGGTGGCTTAAGACTTTTAGTTGCTGTTTTTGTTGATGAACTCTGTTCTCTCCGTTTCTTAATGAAATCTCTTTTACTGGTAAAAACAAACAAACAAACAAATTTTTCCCAAAAAAAAAAAAGAACCTTTTACTTTTGGTTATACCATCATATATTTTAAAAATTCATGTATAATGACGTCAACTAATATGTGTATCCATTTGCATCAAACTCATACGACTATAGAAATCTTTTGAAAACCGTACCATTATTGGCAACAACTAACACATACGCACATCTATTTATTAACTATCACGCACAACAGATAGATCCCGTAACTTTCCTTTTTGTTGGATAGAATTTCATGCCATTATGACAACATGCCACATTGGCAAGGTAATGATAATATAGTAATGATGATTTATGCACAGACCAAAATATTAAATTTTATATTGACATGGTTTGATTGATTTTTATCGTATTGGAAAACAAGAATTATGTAATGGTTACAAATGGAGTGCATTTTTTAACTTTTAATTAACCAAGTAGAGCGGATATATAGATACTTCACCATGCATTATATATGTGTCATTGAAAAATATACTGAATTTATATGTGGTATGATTTAAAATAAAACCAAAACAGGTTCCTCCAAAACCTGGTTCTTAAGCTCGGCGATTCTATGTGCGCAATGCCCCCACATGCAGGTTCAAATTAAATTGAGTCAACTTGACATCAGATCTTTGTTCCTAATTTTTAAAAAAAAAAAACAAAAAGTGAGAGAAATGAGGTCTCATCATGTATACAGTTATAAGTTGCAGAGAATTAATATTTAAAAACATATCATAATGAGGATGGGTGTAGTCAATTAAAAAAAAGAAGGGGTGGGTGTGAGTCATCATTTTGTTGGGAGAGCATGCAGCGAAACCACCGCCCATTGGTTGTTCATCTCTGCTTCGCCTCCATTATCACCCCTTCTCTGATCTGCCGTCGCTACCTGATCTCTCTGCCCCTGGTTTTCATTCTTCTATTCTATCTCCTTCTCATGCCTTTTCCTTCCAAATAAAAGCTACCCGTGTCTGTCCATCTCCCTGTCTCTGTTTCAACTACTAACAGAGAGACTTTCAGAAGCCCGGTCCAAGTTAGACTTTTAAGTGGGGTACACTTTAAGTTTTCCACTTGACCATTGGGAGAACTTATTCTTGCTTTCCAAGGGAAATATCTCTTTGACCCTTTTCCCTCACTTCAAATATATTGCAACTAACCACAAGAATCTTTGACCCTCTCGGATCTAAATTAAATAACAAATAACAACCCTTGCCCTGCCCTATATATGCCCTACCTCCTGCCACACATCCCCAGCAACCAAGAACCATCATTTGTGTATTCTCTTAACAAATAGAGGAGAGATCATGGATGTCCCTGTGATAGATTTCAGCAAGTTCTGTGGCGAGCAGCGCGGCCAAGCTATGGCTCTGTTGCACGAAGCTTGTGAGAAACGAGGCTTCTTCGTGGTAAAGTTTATATCAGCTGTATATATGTTAGATCTCTCCTGTTTTACATATCCTTCTACTTCTTCTTCTTTGCCAACATGCAGCTCCAAAACATCGCTTGCTGTGTATGCAGATTGAGAACCATGGCGTTGACACAGAGTTGATGGAGAGGGTGAAGCATTTGGTGAACACATACTACGAGGAATACCTGAAAGAGAGCTTCTACCAGTCTGAGCTGGCAAAGAGCCTGGACAAGTCAGTCTCTATCTCCGACGAGGATTGGGAAACCACCTTCTTCATCTGGCACCGTCCAACCTCCAACATTAAGGAAATCCCGAACGTCTCCGAGGAGCTCTGGTAAGTCTAATCAGCATCAATTCGTCACTTCCACAGTACGTATCGTGTCACACGGAAACACAAACTGATAAGAAGTAAATGCGATGGAATATATGCAGCAAAGCAGTGGAGGAGTACATTGCGCAGCTGGTCAAGGTGGCGGAGACGCTATCGGAACTGATGAGCGAGAATCTGGGGTTGGAGAAGGATCACATAAAGAAGGCATTCTCGGGAAGCGGGGGAGGAGCCAGAGTGGGAACGAAGGTGGCGATGTATCCTCGATGTCCAAAACCGGAAGTGGTGAGAGGACTGAGAGAGCATACGGACGCAGGAGGGATAATCCTGCTGCTGCAGGATGACCAAGTGCCAGGTCTTGAGTTCTTGAGAGACGGGAAGTGGGTGGAGATTCCTCCGTCCAAGAACAACGCCATATTTGTGAACATAGGGGACCAAGTGGAGGTGTTGAGCAATGGGATTTACAAGAGCGTGGTGCACAGAGTGATGGCCGACAAGAGCGGAAGCAGACTGTCCATTGCCACCTTCTACAACCCGGTCGGGGAGGCCGTGATTTGTCCTGCTCCCAAGCTGCTTTACCCCAGTGGCTACTCTTTCGCAGACTATTTGAAGCTGTATGGAAGCACCAAGTTTGGTGACAAGGCTCCCAGGTTCCAGTCCATGAAGAATATTCCCAATGGCCACTAAAGCCTTCTCTCCCAACCAAACCGCTATTATATTGTCATATTATAGCCCCTTATTTATCTGTCAATTCAATCATGTTTTTAATTTCATCTGTTAATTGCCACAAAACCAGAGGAAGGCATGTGTCTTGATGGATCAGGACACCATTTCTTTCTTTTGTTTCTTTCGTTTAGGCATGAACAACAAAACAAGAAAATTTATGTACTATTTCTCTATTAATTTCAGGAACAAAAAGAAGCACAAAGGTTATATAATATAATATATATATATATATATATATATTCTTTTATTTTCTTTTCATACATTGTTTTTTCCCCTGCACCTCCTTTCGTTGTTTCTACTTTCTAATATGTGAGAACATGTTCGGATAGCAGGTCAATGTCTGGAACTGGGCTAGTCAAATGATGTCATGGATCACCCAAGGGTCTACCTGCTGAGTGCCTGATTCTCACAAATGACAAACAATTGTATAGATTATTTATAAGAAATTTCGACCAACCTTATCAATATTAATAAAAAATAATAAAAATAAATAAAATTTTAAACATAACTTTTAATTAAAAAGAAAAAAATAAATAAATTGTGTAATATATTTTCTGTCTTATTTTTTATGGACACTTTAAACATTTTAATTTAAAATAAAACAATCTCATTAACTAATAATTTATAAAGCACATTAGATCGTGCTCCTGAAAAGCATCACAGGAAGCACAAATCTAACAATCTAATAATTAAAAAGGGGGGATTTTAATTAAAGGAACACTTATTTGACTTATTTTCAATTAGACCCAAAACAATATAAAATATCGTCACAGGATTTTGAATTTGAATATAAATTAAATTGGTAAGCAAAATTAAATAACTAAATTATCTTTCTTTAATTAAATTGAATAAGACACAAACATGATGAATTTAACAAGTAACAACAGACGATTAACAAATAATATTACGCAACTAAGAAGTTAATTGCATTATATAAAAAATAACTTGACATGTAATGATTTATTACTAATTAGATGTCCAAGAGTAATATTACTTGTTAAACTATTGTTGCATGTTAAGTCCATTATGTTACTTGTTAAACATCTAGATTGTAACAAGTACATTACTTAAGTTACTTGTTAAGTAATGTTTAACTTGTTAGATGCGTAACTAGTTACTTTTTAATTCTCTATTATTGCTTGTTGAGTCGATTATATTACTTGTTAAACATCTAACTTCTAATAAATTATTACTTATCAAGTTACTTTTTAAGTAGTTGGCAAGTAGAAATTTTACCTAGATTATTATATAATTTTTGCTATTTTATAGGCTAACTAACATGTAAATTAAGAGTAAATTTGGATAAAACGCCTCACTTGGTGAATTTGAAGTATTTTTAGGAAAATGAAGCAAAAAGAGGCCTAAAAATGCAAGACCAAAGTCAAAGCCCAACAATCAGGCCCAAAAGAACATCTCCATTTATGGACAAGCTCAACACAAATCTCCACTATGCATGGATGTATCTTCTCCATGTATAGACATAACCTGCGATTATGAGAACATAGCCTTTGAAGCAAGCCCATGAGGGGATGTAAGGCCCAAAAAAAAAACACAAATTAATATTTAAAAGGATTCTAATTCAGATATTATCAAATCAAATAAGATTAGGCGTGGTCTATACGAATTTTAAGCCAATGAGGATGAAATTATTATAAATAAATATCCCAACATCCTCTTAAATTATTGAATCTCATATCTAAAAGCTAAAAGACATATTATGGAGTCTATAAGAATCCTTCTAAACTAAGAACTTTCTCTCTTTTCTTCTTCTTTAGATTCTATTTATGTTTTCTATTTAAAATTATAATTTTAATTCTGAGTTCTTTTTAAATTCCTAGTCGGGATAAGAAGTAGCTTGGTTATGATGGATTTTGCTCTTTTATTCAGCTATTTTATTTTTCTGTTAAACATGAATTTTTGTCTGTGAGAATTTTTATTTTATTTATATTTATCTTTCTTATTTTTTATTGTCTTATTATATATGTGGCTAGCATATAATCTATTTGTGGGTTATTCAAAAAACTGAGAAATGAAGAGTTAGGCTATACGTAGAGAGAGAAACATAGAAAACTATAATATAGATAATTTAGTATAGGTGATAACTTCATAGTTTATTTAAGGTCTCAATAGAATTAGTAAGAGCTAATTCAACCTTAAATAAATACATTCTAATATATTAAAAGGTAAATTGGGATACTTCAAAAACAATTGTCATTATAAATAAAAGAAGGTAATTAACTGAATTAGAGTAAATCATTCTGGTAAGTAAATTCTGATCCCTAGCACTTGTCTAATATATTTGGTTTATTGCTTTTTATTGCTTTCATTTAATTGCATTATTAATTATTAAATCCTGTTCAAAAATTTTATTTGTTTTCTTTAAATAATAAATTTAATTTCTTTCCTCTAAGTTCAACTCTTAAAAACTCTAAAAATTATTATTATATCAATCATATACACTTGCAAGAGTGATCAGTAATGCAATCGATTAGTTAGGCATGTATGTTACTTGTTAAATCCATTCAGGATAATTTGTTTATTTTATTTTGCAATTTAACTAGATTTTATGCTCGTGCATAATCCTGAGTTTGTATATTAATCCTTAACTAGATTTTATACAATCCAACTTCTCAATTTTTTTATAAATAGAAAGCCATAAAAACTAATTAAATTAAATATTGAGTAAATATTAGTTTGATAATTGTACAAGTAGTTCAAAATAAATAATTATTGTAATGAAAAATAAGTATATTTTTTTAGGTATTATTAATTTTATAATTTAATTATAAAGAACTATATATTTTTATAGGTTAAATAATAAAATGGCCCCTAAACTATAAGTTTATAAATGTTTGAGACCCTAAACTTATTTGTCATACAATATCTTATTTAATATTTTAAAATGATGTGATATTGCCCTTATAATCAACAAGTATTAACTTTAACCTTTAATTGACTAAAAAATTATATAAAAAAAGATAATGAAAATTTCTTAGATTTTTTTTAACTTTTTGGAACATTGTCTATAATTTTTTAATTTTTTATAATTTCTTGTGCCTTGTTTTATAATTTTTTTAATTAACTAACATTTAGAGTTCTCTTTTATTAATAATAGGAGTGACATTGCATCATTCCTAAAAATTAAAAAGAATATTATATAAAAATGAGTTTAAGGTTTCAAACATTCTTGAACTTATAGTTCAGGGGCCATTTTATCATTTAATCCATAAAAATATAAGGTTCTTTAATCCTTTTTTATTTTTAGGGAATACATAGGGATTTTTTGTCAATTAAGTACATAATAAAAATAAGAAATAAATTATTTTTACAGAAAATATAAGTGAATTTATTTTTTATGAATTTGGCATTTTAGTTATATTCAATATAAATGTTTATTTTAATCTTTGTTTTAGAAATTTTTTTACTCCATGCATATTAATAAGATGAATAATAACTTGTTCTATTTTTATACATATTATATTTGAATATCTTACCAAGTGTACATTAAAAATATAAAGAATAATTTTTTAAAAAATCTATAATCTCCACGTAAATTATTCTAAAATATTTTTCATTCCATGTACTTTATGTATTTTAAAAAAAATTAATGTCGTATTTTTAATTTCAACATTGATCACCTCATATAATTTGCATACTTATGCGTTTTATTTAAAAAAGTTAGAAGATAGTAGATTTAAAATTTGGTAAATGAAAAAAAAAAAGAAAAAGAAAGTGACATTAAAGTCGTAAAGGGACAATTTTATCCATTAAAATCCTAACAAATTTCAAAATACAAAGGAGGCTTCTTGAGTCTTTAGTTGATCTTTTAACAAAGTTTTAAACTTACAAATTTGCATCCCATTGTCTAAAATTTGCAGCTCTTCTACTTTAATTTATAACTCAATTTTTTAATTTAATTTAAAAACATAATTTTTTTTTATAAAAACACAATTTTAAACAATGAATTTTATAAAATTATTTATTCAACTACAGGAAATTTCAACTTATTTTCTTGGATTTACAAGTTCATCTACTATAATTTACAACCCTATATCCCAATTTTATTTATGAACGCAATCTCAGTATTTATTTTTTTCATGAGAAATTACTTGTTCAATTCCAATAATTTACAATTTATTCTCTCTAATTTGTAATTTGCAATTTATTATTGTTAGTCTCGTGCATGTTGACTATGTAAATAAATTTCATCCTAAAATTTATCATCTTATACATGTTTAAAATAAACAAAATGAATTGTTGTATTCTTAATTTTTTTATTTTGAGTAAATTAAAATCATAGACAACCACTGTTCAAAAATTTATGTAAATTAAATTTGTTCTTGAAGTTTTTTTTAACGAAATGAAGTTATTTAATACCAGGTTATTATTTTTATACATCTTGTTACGAATTTTATGTGTTGTAAAAACATAAATAAATTATTTTATTCTTACATAAATTATTTTAAATTTTGTTACCACGTACATATTTAAAATATACACAACAATTTGTTATTTCACAAATATTATCTTCATGTAAATTAAAATTCAAACAATAGTGTGTGTGTTATTTTATAATTTTTTATCCTATTCTTATTAAAAATATGGTAAAAGAGAAAATTATCCCCTTGATTGTAGGCCCAGCACTAGTGCAAAAATTATTTTTCGCCATAGTTAAAATGTATTTTTGACGACGGAAGATACTGTGTAGTAGAAAATCATGCGATAGTAAATAGACATTTTTTACCACCGGTCAAAAAAAACTGTAGCGAAATATAATATTTTTCGCCATAGGTGCCATAACCTGTGGTGAAAAATATAGTGGCAAAAAATTATTTTAGAGCTCATTTATAACCACAGTTCTATCAACAACTGTCGCCATAAATGGCTTTTTATCATAGTTAGTGTAACAACTGTGGCCGTAAATATAATATTTTTTTTTACTCGTACACTTATATCTATATACATTCTCTTACTTACAAAACCCGCATTAATTAAAAAACAGCAGCTCCAAAGACCAATACAAATATGTCTGGTACATGAACTAAACTTATATTTTCAATACAAAATATCTAGAAGTTTCTACTCTAATCCTGTTAATTTAAAAAAAAAAACTAGACCACAAATTGCGTATATGTCTTAACTCTTGCTTAGAATATGGCTCTAAATTTTGGAAGTGCTGCAAATTCAATAATAATATATGTATGAATAATAACTTAA